TACTGCAAAAATACCCGAGTCCACTATTTTTTTAAACAGACAGTAGTAACAAAACTGCACAACTTGACGCAACTATCTGCATTTTATATCTATGTTACAGATGAAAACGAACAGAACTTAAAATTTACGGAAAAAACTAAAAAGGTATAAATTATATTTGTTATCATTATTTTGTATTGCTTAGTTGCAAATAGCGTATCAGTATCATTTCATGTTTCAAGATACTGATAAAAACAAGAAAATATCGAATATTACCATCTAAATTCTGTTTTTAATGTTGTAGGTAAAAGGTGTGTTTACAAACACCGACAGTCTTGTAAATCAATTGACTAAAGATCAGCGTCTCCTTGAACGTACAGATGATAATGTTGCCATAAGTATTTATAATCAATCTACATCACATACAACGTTGCTAATCGTCGAACAGCAAAAAAACACTCAAAATGCTAAATTCTTATATTTTCAAATGTTCATCGAAGTTTTATTAAACAGACTGCCGTACGCTAATGAAAAATCTAAACAAGAATTAATCGAAATTTGGAAGCAGAAACATTCTGAGGATAGCAAAGGATTTCAGGAGTTTCAACGTGATTATCGGTCGGAAAAAGCAATTTACTGGTATACAAGACCAACGTTCTTATGTGAAACCATAAATGCAGTACTTCGAGGCAACGATATTGATATTTTATTAGCAATGCGTTCATTTGTCATCGATCTATATGAGCAACTCACAGAATTACATCGAAAACAGTTTGGCAATATACAAAGCTCTATTTTTCGAGTTTACCGTGGACAGTCACTGCCTATTTCTGATCTTGATCTAATTCGTAACAGTATTGGTGGATTCATATCGTTTAATAGTTTTCTATCCACAAGCATCGATATTGATTTGGCCTTAGGATTTGCAGCTGCAAGTAAAACAGCAGCTGACTTAACGCATTGTTTATTACAAATTGATATTGATCCAAGGATAACAAGCATTGCATTTGCATCGATAAAAGATGAAAGCTATTATGAAGATGAAAATGAAGTATTAATTAATTTAGGATCAATCTATCGTGTCGAAATCGTTGAATATGACCAACTGCGAGAATTATGGATAATTACGATAACATTGACTGATCTCGATAATTATGATTTAAAAGGTCTACTAGAACATATGAAGAAATCAGTAGGAAAGGGTATCACCGCTCTTGCCTGGCTAATGTATAACCAAGGTGACCAGCAAAGATCTATGAAATATTATCAAGCAGCCTTAAATGATTCAACAGCAAGTGATATGGATAGAGCTCTATGCAATCGCGGACTAGGACTAATTGCTGGTGAAAAGAAAGAATTTGACAAACAAATACTCTATCGAACGAACGAAAGAGAATTATTCAAGAAGCTAGGTCCTCTCGAGTATTTTATTGATATTGGTCAAGCACAAACGGCTATTGGAGAAGCCTATGTTTTTAAGAGAGAATTTGAAAAGGCGTTTAATTATCTTTTAGCATCGCTCCTTCTACTTCCTGTTAATGATTTTGGACGAGCAAATGTCTTCATGGTAATAGCTAATTTATATGATGAGAAAGGTGAATTTGAATTAGCACTTCAATTCTATATGGAAGTACTTAAGATTTATCGACAGCACTTAGATGAAAATGACTTTAATTTTGGAAGACTGTACAGTGATATTGGATTAACGTATGGAAAAGTCCGCGATTTTCAATCGCAATTAAAGTATTATCATAAAGCACGTGAAATATTTCTCAAATCTTCACACCCGGATCATCAACAAATAGCTAACATGGATGATAATATTCAGCGTGCAATAATACAACAAAAATTCTTCGAAACGTGC